ACCCTTCTGCCTGTGACGCCCATCCGGCCTGCTCACCCTTCTGCCTGTGACGTCTTCCCTGTTTGCCCTGCTGCTGTACTACTGTTCTCCCTGCCATCTGAAGCAGCTCCAGCACTTGCCTGTCATCACCTCCCTGCCCCCCGCTTTGTGACTCAAATGTTAAAATTGGGAAAATGTGAATTAGGACTTTGTCATCTTGCTCATTTGATTTCCTCTGCTGCCCCCTGGAGGATGGGCTCCCCCTCTAAGTCTGGTTAGGGTTAGGGCTTCCTCTGCTGCCCCCTGGAGGATGGGCTCCCCCTTTGGGTCTGGTTAGGGTTAGGGCTTCCTCTGCTGCCCCCTGGAGGATGGGCTCCCCCTTTGGGTCTGGTTAGGGTTAGGGCTTCCTCTGCATTCTGTGTTTGGGGAGGGGACTCAAAATTATTATTTATTGTGATATTTTTAAACTAAAATGACACATATATATTTCTTTTTTTACTTATCGCCCAGCCCTAATCAACAATACACTAATCGGAGAGCTATCAGTCCTGTGAAACAGACTTTTAGAGGAAATGTTTGTTTGAATGATTTATGAAAAATGACACTTCATTCATCCCCATGGGGAAATTGTCTTTTCTCCCCTCCCATCTTGTTCTCCAAGAGACACGCCGGCACATATACAGGTGAGAGGAAGTGTGGGGGTCACAGCGCAGGATCGGCCAGCATCCAGCGCCCCTGCAGCTCAAGGACCCAGTGATGACATCACTCTGCTGGCCAGGAGATCTGAACCAGCGACCTTCCACTCATGGACACAGAGTCCGAACCCAAAGAGTCATGCATCACACCCAGAATTTACAGAAATGTTTCCTATAGTATCCAGAACTGAAAAGAATATGAGTGGTTTTCCCACTATTCATGAAAACTGGACCATTCTGTATGATGCTGTATCTTTGGTTATTTGTTACACAAAGGATGGTCATGGAAATCTTGTCTTTTTTGTTTTTACTACATCACTACCTTCAGTTAATATAAAATCTAGGTCCCTAAAAATCCTATTTATTGATACAAGAGGGTAAATAAATTACATATGTACATCATCATTTTATATGATAAATAATGTCTATGTATTACTGCCAGACTAGATGTGTCATCACATCCTCAGCCAGGAGCAGCTGTGGCCAGCAGAGGGCGCCAGTGAGCAGCCAGAGACAGCAGTCATACAGACGCTCCCAGCTCTGGGCTCCATCACATGAACACACCTGCTGACAATAACACTCACATACCACTTATACACCCTGTGGATAAAGAGCCCTCACTGTTTCTATAGCAGGTTAGGATGCTGTGCCTGTGATCAGAAGCCAGACTGGATGGGAACGGAAACGTCACTTTTTTGTTTGTTACTACATCACTACCTTCAGTCATTATGAAGTCAGTGGTCCGGATTATCAAAAAAAAAACACCCCAGTTATTAACCCATGAGGAGAAATATATATTTGATACATTAAAAAATATTCATGTATTGCTGCCAGACCGGACATGATTTCCCATCCCCACGTCACTTACAGAGCCGTCCTGGAGTTCTTGACCACAGGCAGCAGCCTGCAGTGCTCTTCATCTGATCTGATGTATTTCTTCATATCAAACACATCCAGCTCCTCATCTGACATCAGCATCACAAAGGCCAGAGCTGAGTACTGAGCAGGTAAGAGAGATTGTGCAGAAAGGCTTCCTGAATTCAGGTATCTTTGTACTTCCTCTATTAGAGAATTGTCACCCAGCTCAATCAGACAGTGGAACAGGTTGATGGTCCTTTCTGGAGATAAATTCTCCTGGATTTTCCACTTGATGTACTGAGCTGGGGATTGGGTGGCACCCCATTCTGGGTCATTCCCTGTCATGTGCACGTAGCTGTCGAGATAAGCATTGAACCTCCTCCGGCTTGAATAGGACACATGTGTAAGGACTTCGGCTAGATCAGTGGCATCCCACCCTGGGTCGGAATCCAATCCCAGGTCAGTCCCTGCCATGTGCAGGTGCAATGTGCTTTGGGGATAAGCTTCAGACCCCAGCGGCCCTGAATAGGACACTGGGGGACAGAGATTGGATGGATGGATGTATTGGTCCATTTCCTTAATGGTATGCAAGCTGATTCTTGTCTCACCCAGTAGTTTTTGTAAAAGAGTCTTATTGGAGTCTGTTGAGAGGCCCAGGAGGAAGCGGAGGTAGAGG